AAACATTTTTTAAAATTTGAATATAAGTATAATATGATGTAGAAAAGCACATGTATCAAAAATATATTACTCAATTTATCTTCACAAACTGAAAACACCCACATAACCAGAATCCAGATTAGGAAACAAAACACCATCAGTACCGTTGATTATCAGCACCTTCAACCTCCCCCTCCAGTCACAGTGCATCACCGCCACCCTTAAGGATAACCACCATTCTGACTTGAGTAATATAGAGTAGTTTCTCTATCTTTGGACTTTAGGTCAATGGTTTTTACAATATGTGTTCTTTGTCTCTAGCTGCTTTCTGTCAACATTAGCTACAATCCATGCTACACACAGTTAAAGATCATTCTCAGGCATAGTGCATATTCTATTATATACAATAAATACAATACATTGTAGCATGTAGCAACTTATCAGTTCTACTATAGGTGGGCATTTGGGTAATTTCCAGGTATTGGCTACCACCAATAGTACTACTTTGAACATTCTGGCACCTGTCTTTTGTGGAATACATGTAAGTATCTCTGTATCGAGTGCCCGGACATAGTAGAGGAATTGCTAGATATGTGTGTATTCAGCTTTAGTAGATAGATTCTACCAAACAGAATCTGTCAAAGTGGTTCCATGAGGCACTGGAGATTTTCAAATGTGGAAAACAGCTTGTAGTCCCCACTATTGCCTTCATGGATCCCTTAGAGATTTAAGAACTTCCACTTCCAGGACGCCTGGGTGGCTCAGTTGGTTAAATGTCTGCCTCCGGCTCAGGTCATGATCCTAGAGTTCTGGGATGGAGCCCCACATCGGGCTCCCTGCACAGCAGAGAGTCTGCTTCTCCTGCTCCCTCTGCTATTTCCCCCTGCTTGTTCTCCCTCTCTCTCCCTCTCTCTGTCAAATAAATAAATTAAATATTTAAAAAAAAAAAGAACTTCCACTTACAAGAAATTTGTTGTCTTCTGTTCTCAATTAAAATGGGTAATACCTACTATTCCTCATAAAATGCACTTCAACTATTTTGATTAAATCTCTCAGGCCCCTACCCCTGGGCTGTAAAAACCTTTTCCCTAGCTGAGTCCTGTGTGCTCACCTGAGGCCTCTCCATGATGAGGACCCTGAGCCGCAGAGCATTACATAACCGCAGTTAGAGGAGGTAGGTGAGTTCCCGAACCATATCCTCTATAACACACTGCCTCTCTCTTCAGTATGAAATAGAAAAGGAGGCAGAACAAGATCAAAAAGGCACACACTTTGGGGTAGACGGGCCTCAGTCTAGACTCTTGACTCGTGACTAACAATAGTTCCATCTGGTCTGGTTCCATCCATACGCCTACAATTAGCTTTGCTTCTCTAAATGTAGAACCTTCCTTCCTGCTGATTGAAAGAGGCAATTAGAATGAAATCTAAATTACTTCTCTTGCCCATAAGGCCCCACCCTGAACCGTACGCATCCTGATCCCGTTTCCCTCCCACTCCCTCCTTTGCTCACGAGGCTCCAGGTGCATGGGTCCTTTTTCTTCCTTCAAACATGGCAAGCACGTTGTCTTTTCAGAGTGTGCGTCCTCGCTGCTCCCTCTGCTCCAGGTGCTCTTTCCCTTCATCTCCACGTGGCTGCCTCATCCTCACGGTTCAGGTCTCAGCTTAAATGTCACCCCCTTAGAGCGCCCTTCACCAACCAGCTCTCAGAAAACAGCCTCCCACCATCTTTCTCTATCCCATTAGCCTGTTATTCTTTATAGCATATATCATGTGACAATATTTGCTTATATGCTTATTGCCTTCCAAAACTACAATGAAAGATCCATGAGAACAGAGACGATGCTTTTAATTCATTGCTAGATCCCCAGCATCTAGAAAAGTCCCTGGCACATAGTAGGTATGCAATACATGTTTGAGGAATGAATGACTGTAGTTGCATTGAAGGAGTGTGTGGGCTACCACTGATAACCTTTGCAAAAAAAAAAAAAGGCAGAAAGCCCAGGTCCCACTCAACATAGTTCAGTACCCTTCACCTCCTGAGCCCAGGATCAGCAATTTTTCTGGCCCTAAAGACACCCACTCATCAGAGGGCCCAGCATTTCTCTGACCTCATTTCAATAAATCAATGTTGTAAACTTTCTGTTCCACACAAGCTTGCGCTAATGCCTTGCAGTGAATCACAAATACATCAAGAAGACTATTTAACTTGTCAAAATGAAAACTGTCGGCTGTGGGCTGAAGGCTCTGCAAGGCCACAGTGCTCTCCCTGCCATCGTTTCGAGGTCTCAGAGGCAAGGCATGATCAGTGGGGAAGCAGTCCAGGGGTGTAGACCACATGCAGGCATAGGATGCTGCATCTGCTGAGCCCAGAAAAGGCAGGAAGTACTGCTCAGCAACTTGTGCCATAGGGCCATGGCCAGCAGCTTTGAGGGACCCCCGAAGCTCTGCCAGGAAGAAGGGGTTCATTTGTTGGAAGTCCTCAGATTTAAAAACAATATGCTTCAGTGGTTTTATCTTTTCCCGGAAAATGTGAGTTCCACGAATATGAACTAATATGTTTCTGCTTTGCTAACTTCAGTGCTGGTCAGTACTTGTAAGAGATCCAGACACAATGCAAAATAATGAAAATCTCGAGAAGCTGTAAGTGCTCTTCAAACAGAACCCTTCAATCCATAGGTTTCATCTGCCAGAAAATTAACCAAGATCATGTAATCAACTCTAATGGACCAAAGAATTTTCAAGTTGGCCTGGCCCGGGGCCCTTTAGGTTGACATAAAAAAATGACAGAAGACCCTCTGATTATTCACAATTTTGACGCTAACCACCTATCCCAACCCATCAGTAAATGAGAGCACAGACCACCCTGGACCCCACAGATTTCTGACAGGACTTCTCTCCTATCAAAATATAACCTTGTCTCCTCTCTTGACCAAGTCCACCACCATAGGCTGTAATGTCAGGGTTGCCACTGTGTTCATCTCTGTACCCCCGTGAGGAAAAAGACACATCAGGAATCTTCATGCACAGTTCCATCCTGAACCAGCTGTTCCGAAATCCTTGGCTAAGTGAATGATGACGATCACGGTAGCCATGGCACCAGCCTGCTTCTAGAGAGGACCAGGAAGGCCAGGCTGGGGACCAGAAGCACTAGGCAAGATCTTTGTTCAGGGTCCTCTGAGTCCTTCTGCCAGGGTGGATACATGAAACCACGTTACATGGCTAGAATCCACACACAGACTTCCACCTCAAAGATTCTCAGTGGGGCAGATGGCAAAGCTGGTCTTGTAGGCAGGAGTAGCACAGGGACCAAAAGCTGAGTGAGGTTCTGGGCGCTCATGGAGCCTACCTGGGGAAAACCTCGTCTCTGGCAGAGGTTTTGCAGCAACACAACTGTGCTTAGTTGGCAGGAGATCCAGCCAAAAGAGAGCACAAAAAATGTTAAAGCCCAAAACACAAAAATGAAGACACCAGGATGTGAGCCTGAAATTGACATGGAAACCCACCGCAATCAGTACAGTCACACTGGCGAACCATCCCTTTGGAGGTGCGGGAGGCCTTTTATTTATTTATTTTATTTATTTATTCATGAGAGAGAGAGAAGCAGAGGCAGAAGCAGGCTCCCAAGGAGCAGGGAGCCCGATGCGGGACTCGATCCCAGGACCCTGGGATCATGACCTGAGCTAAAGGCAGACGCTTAACCATCTGAGCCACCCAGGCGCCCAGGAGGCCTTTTAAAGTGGCAATGGCCTCACAATGTTTCTCTAGAAACCTGTGATACATAAGCATTTAATGATACCCACTTTCCCATGATCATGGCTTATACCGTTAGTATCGTATGGTGCTCACTCTATATCCTAACAGGGCTGGGTCAGATAATAATAATGTGAATTATTTGCCAACATTTTTACATGGGCAAATTGCACATAAAAATCCATATTTACTACGTCTCTTGAGAAATGCGAAGATCTGACAGAAATGAGCCTATAGTCCAGCATGGCAACATTCGACCACAGCTAAGTAGCAGTCTTCTCTCTGGTGAGGCCACGGGCTTTAGGTTCACTGCCATCCATGTGGCCTACCGTCCTTAATTAAGCTCCTGCCTGGCCGGGCAGGAATCTGAGTTTGAGACCCCTGAGCTCAGCATTTAGTGCACCAAACAATGGTGGCACCTGGGGTAACATTAATCATGGCGGTGGCTGATGTAATTGCTATTGTCCTCATTGTCATTGTTGAGGTTTGTTGTTGGAGATTCTACACAGTAGAATGCCTATTTCAGGAGAGAAGATAGCCATAGATCTTCACTGCGGGAGACTTAAACCAGTGGAAAGATCAACATAGGTTGATTTTGTAAGACACTGCAAAAATTCAAAGTGACAATGATTGATGAGACACAGGAACAGAGGCTCCATAAAGAGAATGGGAGATCATAAACTGGAATTTCATTGCTCAATGTCATATAGGGAATGGAAGATTCAGCCAGAGCCTCAGGTATGAGACAGACAGCTGCAGTTGGCCCCCTTCTGGGTTTTAATTGCAAAGTCCTGGGATATCCATAAAAAGAACCCCTGATTCTAAAGCCTGACCTCCTGTCAACTCAGGATGCCCCAGGAGGGGGCATTGGGAGCACTTAGTATGTGCTGGCAATGAATGAGGTACTTTGCCTACACTGGTTCAGAGGAGAGGCGGGTTCAAATGCTGGCTCCATGCCTTACAAGTTGTCGGAACTTAGATACCTAACCTCTTTAAAACTTTCCTTCCTAACCTATAAAAGGGGAAATGAATGGTACCTACCATACTGTTGTTAGGTGGATTAAATTAAAGGGTTTAGCATAGTAGTTGGCTTCTCGTAAATACACATAAGTAACTATTAGCATCATTATTACTATTACTAAGCTTACTTTTAGCAGGTGAGAAAAAGTGAAAGTCAAAAAGGGTTAGAACTGGTGGCCGGAGGAGGTGGAGGGGGGCGCCGAGAACGGCGAGAGGCCCGGCGGCATCAAAACCAGGAAAAATAACGAGGAATGGCTGTGGAAGAGCTTCAGTCCATAATAATGAGATGTCAAATCCTAGAAGAACAGTACTTTAAAGAAGAAGATTTTGGCCTATTTCAGTTAGCAGGCCAAAGATGCATAGATGAAGGGCATATAGAGCAGCTATTAGAAATTATTCAAAATGAAAAGAATAAGGTCATTATCAAGAATATGGGCTGGAATCTTGTTGGTCCTGTTGTTCAATGTCTTTTGTGAAATAAGGAATATGAGAAAAGAAAATATTATTATCTGATGCTTGATTTATTGGTAAAGTTACGTAATCCAAAGGAATTATTGTTGGGTTTGCTTGAACTGATTGAAGAGCCCTCTGGAAAACAGATATCCCAAATTATCCTTCTTTTACTTCAGCCATTACAAACACTGATTCAGAAACTTCGTAACAACAAGGCATATTCGGTGGGATTGGCATTGTCCACTCTTTGGAGTCAGCTCTCTCTCCTTCCCGTTCCATACTCAGAAGAACAAAGACAAACAGATGACTATGGCCTTTGTCAGTGTTGCAAGGCCTTAACAGGGTTCACTAAGCCTTTTGTGGAAGAAGTCATTAATGACAAAGAAAACTCACTGGAAGACGAAAATGAAAAGTTAAAGGATGAATTACTGAAATTTTGTTTCAAAAGCTTGAAATGCCCTTTGCTGACAGCACAATTCTTTGAGCAGTCCAAAGAAGCTGGAAATGATCCCTTAAGATGATTTGCATCTGAAATAATAGGCTTTTTATCAGCAATTGGACATCCTTTCCCCAAAATGATTTTTAATCATGGAAGGAAAAAGAGGACTTGGGACTATCTTGAATTTGAGGAAGAAGAAGACAAACAGCAGACTCTATGGCTTCTCTGGCCTATCTGGTATTTGTACAGGGCATCAGTATTGATCAGCTTCCAATGGTCTTAAGCCCATCGTACCTTTTGCAATTTAATATGGGGCATATTGAAGTCTTTTTGCAAAGCACAGAAGAGTCTGTTTTCTCCAAAGGAGTGGATCTGTTGGAGAATGGTTTGTTGAGAATAGAAGACAACAGTCTACTTCACCAGTACTTAGAAATCAAGAGCTTTCTTACTGTAGCTCAGGGCTTAGTCAAAGTAATAACACTTTGCCCCATTGAGACATTGAGGAAAAAGAGTTTAGCTATGCTTCAACTGTATATTAACAAGTTGGATTCACAAGGCAAATATACGTTATTTAGGTGCTTATTGAATACAAGTAATCATTCAGGTGTGGAGGCTTTCATTACTCAGAATATCAAAAATCAAATTGATGTGTCATCAAAGAGAACACATAACAAATGGTTTACAGGCCCACAGCTGATCTCACTTCTAGATTTGGTACTCTTTCTCCCAGAGGGTGCTGAAACAGATTTACTCCAAAACTCAGATAGGATAATGGCTTCATTAAATTTATTGAGATATTTGGTTATCAAAGTTAATGAGAAAGACAATCAAACTGGACTATGGACAGAACTTAGAAAGATTGAGAATAATTTCTTAAAGCCACTCCATACAGGACTTAATATGTCAAAAGCACATTATGAAGCAGAAATTAAAAATAGCAAAGAAAATAGCCACGAAGTCCAGAAGTCTAAAGATCTTTGTTCTGTAACTGTAGGTGGAGAAGAGATCCCTAATATGCCTCCTAAAATGCAGCTTAAGGTCCTACATTCAGCTCTTTTCACATTTGATTTGATTGAAAGGGTTCTGGCTCGAGTAGAAGAACTCATTGAAATAAAAACAAAGTCTACCCCTGAAGAAACTATTGGGATAAAGTGAAACCTCCATTTCCTAAATAAAAACTAGTAAAATACTGTAAAAAAAAAAAGGGGGGGGGTTAGAACTTGCCCAAGATTATCATATAATCAATCATAGAACCAGTACTTAAACTCAGTTTCATCTGCCTAAGAATATCTGTGGTTCTGGCACCTTCCTTCCAATGATGTCTCAGGACTAGCTGAACAAAGAATAGAGATCCTAACAGAGAAAGAAAGAGTTTGGGTAATGCTTTTGAAGTATATCACTGCATCATTCCCACTTTCTAGAACTCCCCCCGCCCTGGCCCGCCGATTCCCCTTGTTCTACCCATCAGTGACACCATTTTAAGCCCAATTCTCCGTGGAAAGACAATGTCATCCATCCCAGGCACAAGTCATGCTTAATAGAGAATGGCAGGACAGGGTCATCAGCAAAGTCTGGATCTCAGCCAGTCCTCCCACATGGAAAGTGAACTCACCACCACTCAACCCCAGTGTCCTGGACATTCTCCAGGAATGAGTGACAGGTCCCACCATGTGGGCAGTCAAAGGCATGGGGGTGGTGGAGATCGTATGGGAGATGGAAGAAACACATTGCAGATGAGCAAAAGCCAAACAGATGGCATGGCCTCGCTGCAGGTGGCTAAGAAACCACAACAGCAAGCTGACTAAATGGGCATACATACAGCGGAGGGAGCCAGGAGAGGGGCAAAGAAGTCAAGTCCAAAAGGCACCAGGCTTGGCAAAGAATAACTACAGTGCTCATGGACTAGTAAAGAATCAAACCCCAGTGGTGTGAGGGGCTCAGGACTGGTGGGGAGCAGGGGCAGGGGGTGGGGAGGGCAGAAGTGGAATAATCAGGAACACAGAGCAGTTGAGAACAGAGCCCACAGCCAGACAGGCCAGGTCCAAAAAAATCAGGAAGAAGGGACCTAACACAAGGATGGTGAGTGAAGTCAGAAAGCCTAAGTGGACCAATGCCAAGCAGTCTCCTAATGTCTCAATAAGGCTAAGGGACCAGCTGGATTTGTTAGCAGTCCCATCCCACGTCCCAGAGATAGCCATTGTTAATGGGCATATGCACAAATATACAGACACACAGATGTGTATATATACAAATATACACACAAATCTATCCTCAGATATTCAAAAATGGAACTAGACTATATATATATACATTGTCCAATTTTTTTTCACTCAACTAGATCAAGAACATTTTTCCATGCCTGTGATTGTACTTCTGCATGATCCTTTCAGTGGCCTTGCTGTATTCCATCATGTATATGAACCACAACCCACTCAGCCACTCCCTACCAAAGGGCATGAACAGTAGGGTGTGCATGATTTTCCTCTGTAATAATACAATACAGTCATCAACATCTGTTTCCTTGGGATTAATTCCTAGGTGTAGAACTGGTGAAGCAAAAGGCAACAGCATTTTAAAATCTTTTGCTACATAAGGAAAAAAAAAGTGACGGGCACCTGGGTGGCTCATTTGGTTAAGCGTCTGCCTTCAGCTCAGGTCATGATCTCAGGGTCCTGGGATCAAGCCCCGCATCAGACTCCCTGCTCAGTGGGGTATCTGCTTCTCTCTCTCACTCCCTCTGTGCTCTCTCTCTCTCTCGCAAATAAATAAATAAAATCTTTGAAAAAAGGAAATAAGTGAAAGGTTACATTATTTTGCCCTCTCTCCAGTAGCATGAAAGGGCAATTTGCTCCACACCCTCCCCAACACTGGGTATTATTATTTTGTCAGTTGGCTAAGTAAAAAATGCCATGTCATTTTTCAATCTGCATTCCTCTGTTTATTAGAGAAGTTGCACATTTTCTAAAGCACAGTCATAACTCCTAAGTACAAGATTGAGACCCTTACAGAAAGATGACGAAAGAGGATGCTCACCCAGATGCTCAGACCTGGCCTCAGAGACTTTGTCTTCATGTCTGCAGGTTCACTCAGTGGTCCCAGAGACTGCACCCCAGCTTTGCAGGTGCAAAATCTGACCTCTGTTCACCCAAGTGTGTTCTGGCTCTGGGAACGGATGTGTGCCAAGAAAATTCACAGGTGATGTGCTGATAAACCAGGATGTTAGTGTATCAACTTATAATAAAAAAATAAAAGCTTGGGGTGACAGGGTGGCTCAGTGGGTTAAGCGTCCAACTCTTGATTTCGGCTCAGGTCACAATCTCAGGGTCACCAGATTGAGCTCAGTGGAGAGTCTGCTTGAGAGTCTCTCTCTCCCTCTGCCCCCCCACTCGTGTGTGTGCGCATGCTCTCTCTCTCTAATAAATAAATCTTCAGAAAATATATAATCTTTGCAACAGTGGAAATACTCATGTATAATATCTAGGATACTCTGTTTGGAAACTCAAACTGGGAATCAGAAGGTTATCTGATAAATAAAAAGGTATCCCCAGAGACAGAGAGGAGCAGCAAGAGAGCATTTCTAGGGGGCGGAGCAAGATGGCAGAGGAGTAGGAGACCTGGATTTCGTCTGGTCTCAGGAATTCAGCTGGATAGGGATCAAACCATTCTGAACACCTACGAACTCAACAGGAGACCGAAGAGGAGAGTAGCAACAACTCTCTGAACAGAGAAGCGACAACTTACTGGAAGGTAGGACCTGCGGAGAAGTGAATCCGAGGCGATATTCAGGAGGATAGACGGCAGGGGAGGGGGCCTCGGTCGGCCGCTTCTGGCAAGTGATAGAGCCGCGGAGCACAAAATCGGAACTGTTAGAAGTCGGCTCCGCTGAGGGACGTCGCTGCAGTGGCTAAGCGGGGGGTGGAATCATCCCGGGACAGTGTGGTCTCAGGACCCTTGGGGTCACAGAAAGACCGGGGGTGCCTGAGTGCGGCAAAGCTCCCAGGTATTGGAGCGGGGAAGCCGGCTGCAGAGACGGAGCCGAGGCGCGGGCTAGCAGCTCGGGGTTGCCATAAACTGTGATCCGCGGCCCAGTCGGGCCACTGCTCCTCCAGCAGGGACCCAACAGGTGGCAGAGCCGGGGAGACACCCCTTCCTCCCCCGGGAGGAGCGGCGCGGGAACGCACCGCAGGGATCTGCTGGGTTTGGAGACTCCACACGGGGTTGGATGCCGGAGATAGAAACCCTCGGTCACAGGCCGGGTGAGCACGGAGAGCGGCCGGAGACTGGGGACACGGGAGTGACTGCTTTTCTCTGTGGGCGCACTGAGGAGCGGGGCCCCGAGTTCTCAGCTCCTCCGGGTGGAGATTGGGAGGCCACCATTTTCGCCCTGGTCCTCCAAGGCTGTACGGAGAGCTTGCAGGGAACAAAAGCTCCTGAGATCAAACCCGAGCAGCTTGCTTAGCCTGGACCGACAAGGGCGGGGCAATTCAGCCTCCGGCAAAGACATTTGGAAACCACAGCAACAGGCCCCTCCCCCAGAAGATCAGCACGAACAGCCAGCAAGCCAAGACCAAGTTTACCGATCAAGGAGAACGGCAGAACTCCAGGGCTAGGGGAATACTGCACATAGAATTCATGGCTTTTTTTTACCATGATTCATTAGTTCATCAAAGTTAATTTTTGTTAACTGTTTTTCTTATTTTTATTTTTCCCTTTTTCAACCAACATCTTATCAATCTCTTTTTAAAAAAAAAAACATTTTTTATTTTTCATTTTTAGAGTAATATTTTATCCCTTCGTAGTAGTTACCCTTATTTTTGGCATATATATATAAGTTGTTCTCTCTTTAAAATTTTGAGATACAGTTACTTCTAACAGATCAAAATATACCCTAAATCACTAGTGTATGGCTCTGTTCTAGTCTCCTGCCTGATCACATTCTCTCCCTTTTTTTTTTCTTAAATCTTCTTCTTTATTTTTTCAAACAACTTCTTATCTTATCAAGTGCTTTTATAAAATCTTTTATAATTTTCATCTTTACAGTCATCTTCTATCCATTCATTGTATCAACCCTTATTTTGTACATATATGTCTTTCTTCCTTTAAAATTTTAGGAGGCACTTTTTTCTAACAGACCAAAATACGCCCAAAATCTAGTGTGTGGCACTGATCTATGCACTAGCCTGATCATATCTGATCATATTCTCCTTTTTTTGTATTGTTCTGTTTTTGTTTTTATCTTTTTTTTTCTTTTTTTTTCTCTTTCTTTTTTCTTTCTTTCCCTTTCTTTTCCCCTGGTTTCAGGTCTTTTCTGATTTGTATACAGTATATTTGCTGGGGACGTTGTAAACCTGTTAGCATTTTGTTCTCTCATTCATCTATTCTCCTCTGGACAAAATGACAAGACGAAAAAAACCACCTCAGCAAAAAGAACAACAGGTAGTACCGTCAGCCAGGGACCTACTCAATACGGACATTAGTAGGATGTCGGACCTAGAGTTCAGAATCATGACTTTAAAGATACTAGCTGGGCTTGAAAAAAGCGTGGAAGTTATTAGAGAAACCCTTTCTAGAGAAATAAAAGAACTAAAATCTAACCAAGTTGAAATCAAAAAGGCTATTGATGAGGTGCAATCAAAAATGGGGGCACTAAATGCTAGGATAAATGAGGCAGAAGAGAGAATCAGTGATATAGAAGACCAAATGATGGAAAATAAAGAGGCTGAGAAAAAGAGAGAGAAACAACTACAGGATCACGAGGGCAGAATTCGAGAGATAAGTGATACGATAAGACGAAACAACATTAGAATAATTGGGATCCCAGAAGAAGAAGAAAGAGAGAGAGGGGCAGAAGGTATATTGGAGCAAATAATAGCAGAGACTTCCCTAATGTGAGGAAGGAAACAGGCATCAAAATCCAGGAGGCACAGAGAACCCCTCTCAAAATCAATAATAATAGGTCAACACCCGACATCTAATAGTAAAACTTACGAGTCTCAGAGACACCAAAACCTTAGAGACAAAGAGAAAATCCTGAAAGCAGCTCGGGAGAAGAGATATGTAACCTACAATGGTAAAAATATTAGATTGGCAACAGACCTATCCACAGAGACCTGGCAGGCCAGAAAGGACTGGCAAGATATCTTCAGAGCACTAAACGAGAAAAATATGCAGCCAAGAATACTATATCCAGCTAGGCTGTCATTG